CATGGAGGGGATTGTAACCATGGCAATATATGATAGAATGAATGTAAAACTAATGTTCTCCCATGTAAACTATCACATAATTCACAATAAAACATTTAAGGAAAAAAAAGTGTACTTACATTTTGATTTATTAAGAGTAAATATACATTATATTCTGCCTTTTAATTTTCTGTGCTTTTGGAGAGGAAACCCTTCTCAGTGTGATGGTGTTGTAAAGTGTCGTCAAGTTGAGTCAGTTTCCACTCATAAAGACCCAGTATAGGGTTTCCAAGGAGCGACTGAATGGTTTGAACCACCAACCTTGCGATTAGTACTCCAATGCTTATCCTACAGTGCCACCCCAGGTGTGTAGCTCTAGACAAACATTGCTCTTGGACAATTGGACGTCATTTCCTGTGTAATTACAAAGCCCAGTTGTAACAACACCTGGTGAAGTTTATTAAAATAGGAGCTGTGCCGGGATTGTTGTTAAGTGTTGTAGAGTTGGTGCCGACTCATAGCTACCTTGTGTAGGGTTTCCGCGGAGTGGCTGGTGAGTTCGAACCACCGACCTTGTGGTTCAGTACTTTAACCCACAGCACCACACAACAACAATCTGTACCGAGATTGTTGTTAAGTTTGGTCGAGTGGTTCCAACTCAGAGCGACTCTGTAGGAAACCCTATACAAGATCGCTATGGGTCGGAACCGACTCAACCGCACTTAACAACTTAGGGTTTCTGAGGAGCCGCTGGTGAGCTTGAACCGCCGACCTTATAATCCAGCGCATTAACCCGCAGCACCACACCAGGACTCTTCTGTACAGAGATTGATGTTGTTAAGTGCCGTCGAGTCGGTTCCGACTCATAGCGACCCTGTACAGGGTTTCCGAGGTTGTAAATCTCTACGGGAGCAGAAAGCCTCATGTTTCTCCCACGGAACAGCTGGCAGTTTTGAACTGCTGACCTTGCAGTTCGAAGCGATTCGTAGCCACTACGTAGCGTAGTGGTTACGAATCGGGCTGCTCCGTGGGAGAAAGATGAGGCTTTCTACTCCCGTAAAAGATTTACACCCTCGGAAACCCTGTACAGGGTCGCTATGGGTCGGAACCGACTCGATGGCACTTATCAACAAAAACAACCCTGCCCCCAAAATTAAAGAAGTGACAAATGAAATCAAATGTCCTAAGGAGAAACCTCTACTAAGTTGTGCAACGTTCATTCACTGTTATATCCAGTAAATCTCAGTAAATCATGTGACAAAGATCACTGCTTAAGCGGGAGATTCCTGGGTCTTGCCAATAAGGGCACGTAATAGAGACACTACTTTCTGATTACCGTATTAAAAAACCCTCCAACACATACACTACACACACACACACACACACACACATTTAAAGACTATAGAACAAAACGAAATTTAAAGAGGCAATTCTAATGCCCGGCAGTGGGCAAATTGAAATATTTTAAAAAGGTGTCCCAAAGAGGAAAATTTGATCTGTAACTATGCCTCAGACTCTCTGCACTGTGCCAGTCCAGGTCTTGGAGTCTGCCTTGAGGGGGGATGTCCGAAATTCTGGTCGTTACCGTTTCGGTCTGGGAATTTCCAGTGTGCAGAAAAAGTCCACGAGCCTCGTCCTCATTGCTCTCACCCGCTCTGCCCCTCCTCTGAGCCCACGCAGCCCCGGTGGGACGAGAGGATGACCGTATTTTGTATTTTAGAACACAGGCTCGTCACTTCCCCCACCCCTACCCCTCACATGTATAAAGGGGGCCGGCGCGAGGTCTGGTGTCCGCCACGAGGTCAGACGCCGTCACCGCTGGAGTGCTTAGAGAAAAAGGCTGCTTAACTGCTGCTTATCATGTAACCTCAAAAGGAAACTGATCGTCTTTCTTAGGCTTTCACGTACTTGGGTTATTATCACTGATTACAGCTGGAAACTATTTGCTTTTACGTAGTTGTATGACTTGGCTCTTCAAACATAAAGGTACATTTTTGTTATTTGATATTTAGTATGAAAAGTTTGTTCAATTTTCTTTTCTCTCTCCCTGTATTATGATTATTTCCTTTTAATTACTTTTCGGTACGTGGATAGTAATTCTTGTTTGGGGCCAAAATAGTGGGGGGTAGTCTTTTGGAGAAAGAAAATCCATTAAAAAAAACAATTTGGTAGTGGCTATGAATCTTGGCTATTTGCCTCTGAAGAACTAAGATGCAGTTAGAGGAGGTGGCTAGTACAGATGATGACCACAGGGTAAATTCAGTGTAACATTCTGGTGTTAGTGATGTAGGACTAGATCATGTTTTGTCATGATACCCCTATGACGAAACATCTGATAAGGTCTGATGTGAAAGGGCTTAGAGGCACACTTTCAGTGGCTAAACGTAAAACTATCATTATGGAAAACTGAGTAGATCAAAATGTTTTACAGCATATCTTTATTAATTCTTATATTATTTCTGTAAGATTCACACACATTTCAAGACCGTTTTATGAATGAGGGACCATAGAACTTTGTTGATGAATGAGGAACCATAGAAATTTGTTGGCTTGTCTGGAATCACAGATTCATTGCAGTCTGTATACAGTATTTTGAGGGGTTCTGTGTGGATAAAAGCACATTTTTAGGTGGAATAGATAATAGGTCTCATCACGAGGATGTGTGTGTCCCAAAGAGGATGATGATTACTGACATTTATTATATCAGTTTTAAGCACTTGGTAAAACAGGTTAAATCTGTCACTTTATGAATTACCTCACTTTAAACCTGGTATCTAAAGAAATAGATAATCTGGCTAGGTGAAATATTTTTTGCTTCTCTTGGGTGAGAAGAATTTCCCAAGCTCATTCATCACCCTCAGTACTTTCTGATCATGGAGGTGATCAGCCACAGATCATTCAAACATGCAGATAAACCCTGCAGTCTCTATTTGGCTTCAGAATACAACATTTGGTCCACCACATCTCTCCTTCTTCTTTCTAACATTATGCTTAGTGGAAGGACCCCATTGTGGCTATGTACATGGAGTAGTAGAAGATCTGGCAGGATCTTTTCCAGTATGGAGGTGATGTTGATGATTCTGGTTGGCTTCATTTAGTTGCCCAGACACAGTGAGGCAAAACCTTCTCTTCATGTTTTCTCTTGAAACAAGCCAACCTCTTAGAAGCTAAAGTCATGGAGAGCACCACTGAGGGGAAGAATTTCTGATTCTTAGATCTCTAATGAATTGCTCCTGAGAAAAGTTCATAGATGACACTGATCTGATGGCCTTTGGTTTTTCATCAGGTTAACAGGAAGATGGCAAGGGCGCAGCCTAAACGTCACCTTTTGGCTTTCTTGGCCTGATGCTGAACTCCAGAGGGTGAGAAGGGTAGACAGTCTAACCAAGTAGGGCCCAGGTACTCTGTAGGCCTTGACAGATGTGGTCAAATTGGGCAGCGGGATGTTTCCTAAGGTTCCTGGGATTCTTAATTTCATCAACTTCTTTTAAACGTAATCTCTTAATCAATTCTGAAACTATCTCAAAGTTATTATGAATTTTGCTATGATAGGCATTTTCCTGCGATTTCTTGTGAAGTATGCTTTGTGGTGGTTAAGCATATTTATAACCGATTGGTTAAATTTCCCCTCTAGGTTGTATAATCATCATTTTTACTATTTTCCATGGGAGCAGTGTACACATGAACATATCTACAGGGGAATTCAGCTCTCTACTGCTGATAGTGTCAGGGTTATGCAAACTTTCACCCACTCAGAGCATCATGCTTCCTCACAGTTTTGGTGAAGAGACTCATTAAAGTTAGGATATGTGTTTTTTTATTAAAGCATTTTCTTTTCCTGTAATTCAGACTGTCTGAGAGGTAAAATACTTTCCTTCTAAAATTAGTGGATGAGAATATTTTACTGATTCTGGGGGAGTTAATGGATATGGAATTAACCCTGTAGGATTAGCACTGCACTGCTAACTATAAGATTGGCAGTTCAAACCCACCAGCTGCTCCTCTATACAGGGTCACTATGAGTCCAAAGGGACTGACAGCACTTAATAACAACAACAAATACTTACTTGCTTTGGGACTTCCCAGCAAGTTCTCATTTAGCCCTCTTAACAGAATTCAAAATAGGCCTTATGAACTTCAATTGTACCACCACTCTCTGCCATCAAGTTGATTCCCACTCATAACAACCCGATAGGACAGACTAGAACTGCTCCCTAGGGTTTCTGAGGCTGTAAATCTTTTTGGAAGCAGACAGAGATGAGAAAATTAAGGCTCAGGTATTGATCAACTGGCTCCAGATCACTGATCAGTAAACTGAGAGCTTAGATTTGAATTTGGGGATGTGTGTTTCCATAGACAGTATTCTTGCTGCCTGGCCACTGGGATATTTGCAAAGGTGCACGGTGTAGAGGTCCAACTCTTTCTAGGACTCTAATTTCCTTGAGGACCGTCCACTTCCCTGTCTCATACCTGGTTGCCAGCTATTTCCTGTTCAGACTTAACTGATAAAGTTTTAGTTGATAACCACCATAACCCTTCACACAGTATGAAGACCACAGTTAAATCTGAAACAGAATTGATGAGAGTTTGGGCTTATGTTTTGGGGACAGACAGCCTCTTATTTGTTAAGCTATCTGTGGACACAGCATCTGGGATTATAAAGAAAGGGGCAGCTTGCAGCCTTTTGCCTTGCTCCTCTCAGGAACCCAAGACTTGTAAGAACATTGCTAGTAACATCTCTGGTGAAGGGCCCACTGGGGAGGCTTCTGCAGGTGGGAGCTTTGGGCAACTCCCAAACCCACTCCTTTGTTTTCTACCATCCCAACTATTGCAGAGTGCATTAATAAGCAATTACATTTCTTCCATAGGTCGTTCCCATAGTAGAAATGAATATTTTTGGCATCTCTGATTATTATTCTCTCACATGATCTTTTTCTAGTTTATATTTCTCATAGAATCTATTCCAATACATCGGGACTATGAATCATAGTCAGCTTGGTAGCTGTAGGTTTTTGGGTACAGGATTTATTTATAGGATGAGTGGAGATATCAATAAATGTACTTGGGTTTAAAGTATAAAATGTTCTGAGGAATTAGGAATAATTTGGTATTTGTCTTTTAAGACAGTACTTCTAAACTTTACTGTGCAAAAACTTACAGTAGGTGTGGGGTGGAGCTTGTGGTTCTGCATTTTTAGCAAGCTCCCAGGTAATACTGATTTTATTAGTATAACATCTGTACTTCGAGTAGCAAAGTTCTTAGGTATATTGGATTTCAGTTAAAAAAAGTTATTGGAGTCTTTCTATAGAACCTATATATGTAATTTTACCATGTGGAAAAATAAATTCTGTCATAATTATGTTAAAGCAACGATGATGGAGTGCTATGTTCTCTATACTTAATACTCAATAGCTGAATTAAACTTAACAAAACTCTGTTAATCACCTAGGTGTTATGCATATACAATGCTAAATTTCCACATATTAAAATGAATTTCTCATGAATTTAGATGTTTTGACGTGTGCTTGTTGTTATTAAAGTGCCATCAAGTCAGTTCTGGCTCGTAACGACCCTTCATAGGGTTTCCAAGGAGTGGCTGGCAAGTTTGAACTGCCGTCCTTGTGGTTCAAACCCACCTTGCGGTCCAGTGCTTTATCCCACAGCATCATACCAGGACTCCTTTGAAGTGTGCACTTTTAATATTGATGCCAGACTTTCAGACACCTTTTAGCATTGGTTGCTATGTGTGCATCCCAGTCTTCTGATTATTTCAGTCAAATTTGCTATTTGATACCCACCTGTTTTATAGAGTGGCTAATATTGTAAATCATGCATTCAAAATAAGGGTGATATTTTCTCTCCAAAAAGGCAAAATTGGTTCTTAGCAGGGAAATCATAGCTATTCCAATGGTTTTGGCTTGAGGTCAAAAAGTTTTTTTCTCTGCTCAGTTTTCTTTGTGTCTACATCATTACCTTGGAATGTTAATGTATGTGTGTGCGTATGCAACATACTATAAACAAGGTTGTGGTCAGGAATCATAATTTTGCGCATTGTTGGAATAATGAGTCAGACCCTTTGGAAATACAGATTACTTGTTGTGCAGTTCCAAGTTTAAAAGAAAACCTTAAGAAACTTACTGGAGGATTAGGAGGACCAGATCCATAGATGTGGGACTAGGCCATGTGAATAAAGAGGAATCAAACCAAGAGAAACTTGAAAATAGAAATTATGTCAAGTTCTGATTTTGACTCTCCTCTCCCTCCCCCTGCCGAGCTCCTGTTACCACTGCAGTTTAGCCCAGGGTGCTCCACGAATTTTGGTTGAACAAATAACTCAGAATGGAAAAAAGCAGGTGAAAGAATTATTTAAGCAATTGTTTGTGGATAGTTATTACAAAGATAATAAGAACTTCCCATTTTGTGTCTCTGTCAAGGGCAAAGGAGGTGAGTTTAAGGGTGTATGTGGAAGTCAGCAGTTGGAGGAAACTGAGCGATGGCTGGGCAAGACTGTTCAATTGGTCTTTGGCATCTCACTTATCCTGAAAGAGGCCAAAACATCATGGAACTGTCCAGCCCTGCTGTTTGATGCTAATACTTCAACCAGTGAAAAAAATCACATTTGTTTGCTTGTGGTGTTGAACAACATCCAGCATTAAGAGTTCTTAAACACAACATTGATGTCAAAGTCTAGGCTCAGGGTGACAGATTGCAGCCAGAGAAAGCATTTGTAGTATGTACAAGGGGTTGTTGTTGTTGTCAGGTGCCATCGAGTCAGAACCGACTCATAGCGACCCCATGCACAGCAGAACGAAACAATGTCCGATCCTGGACCAACCTTACTACCGCTGCCACACTTGAGTCCATCAATGATGCCACCTGGCTAATCCATCTCGTTGGGGGTCTTCCTCTTTTTCTCTGACCCTCCACCTTACCCAGCATGACATCCTTCTCCAGCGACTGTTCCCTCTGGACAATATGTCCAAAGTATGAGAGACGAAGCTTAGCCATCTTGGCCTCCAAGGAGCACTCTGGCTGCACTTCTTCCAAAACAGATCTATTGGTTCTTTTGGCAGTCCATGGAACTTTCAGTATTCTCCAACACCACAACTCAAAAGCATCAATTCTTCTACGATCTTCCTTATTCACTGTCCAGCTTTCGCATCCATATGAGGTTATTGAAAATACCATGGCCTGGGTCAGGCGCACCTTAGTCCTCAAGCTGACATCTCTGCTCTTCAATACTTTAAAAAAAGTTCCCATACAGCAGATTTGACCAATGCAATACATTGTCTGATCTCTTGCCTGCTGCTTCCGCGAGTGTTGACAGTTGATCCAGGAAGAATAAAGTCCTTGACAACTTCAATCTTTTCTCCATTGATAAGAATGTTGTTTATTGGTCCAGTGGTGAAGATTTTTGTTTTCTTGACATTGAGATGTAATCCATACCGAAGGCTGTGCCCTTTGATCTTCATAAATAAATGTTTCAAGTCCTCTTCACTTTCAGCAAGCAAGGTTGTATCATCTGCATATCGCAGGTTGTTAATGAGTCTTCCTCCAATCCTGATGCCACGTTTTTCTTCATAGAACCCAGCTTCTCGAATTATTTGCTCAGCATACAGGTTGAATAAGTATGGTGAAACAACACAACCCTGTCGCACACCTTTCCCAATTTTCAAACATTCAGGGTTCCCATGCTCTGTTCGAACAACTGCTTCTTGGTCCAGGTACAGATTCCTCATGAGCACAATTAAGTGTTCTGGAATACTCATACTTCTCAATGTTGTCCATAGCTTGTCATGAGCCACACAATCGAAAGCCTTTGCGTAGTCAATAAAGCATAGGTAAACATCCTTCTGGTATTCTCTGCTTTTAGCCAAGATCCATCGGACATCAACAATGATATCTCTTGTTCCACAGCCTCTTCTGAATCCAGCTTGACCCTCTGGAAGTTCTCCGTCAATGTATGATTGTAGCCATTTCTGTATTACCTTTAGCAAACTTTACTCGCTTGAGATATCAAAGAGATTGTCCGATGATTTCCACATTCTGTTGGGCCACCTCTCTTTGGAATGGGCACGAATATGGATCTCTTCCAAACAGTCGCCCAGATAGTTGTCTTCCAAGTTTCTTGGCAGAGATGAGTGAGTGCCTCTTGTGCCGCCTCACTTTCTTGAAAGATTTCAATTTTCATTCCATCAATTCCTGGTGCCTTGTTCTTTGCCAATTCTTTCAGAGCAGTTTGGACTTCCTCCCTGAGTATCATTTGCTCTTTTTATCCCTATTTTATGGATATGAAAACAGTCTTAGAAAAGTTAATTAAAGATACATGGTTATTAAATGAAGGGAGCTGAGATTTGGGCCT